TCAAGTTCTTCAACACAGAATATAGTGCACCACTCCCTGTCCAGGAAATATCTGCTTCTCCCCATTATTACACCCTTTACACAATTTGTAGCCTCATGAGACTTATGAATAAAACAATATGTTCAATCAGGACAGTGAGCATAAAGCAGAATAATAGGTTTGAAAAGAAAACCATTGTGTCTGCTGTGTAAGATCATAAATTGCTATTGACATGAGAATAAAGCGTAAGTCACTGTAAAGCATTTCTAAATGCTGCAGGCATTTGTTCAGGGCTGAATTGAGGCCACATAGCTCGTGTTACATTTGCACGGCATGCTATATCTTCCTTGTAAGTTTTAGAGCTAAATTCCAGACAAGCTCAAAGATAGTATTCTCAGCTCCCAAAGCTGTCCACATTAAGAAAAACTTGAGGAAGATTACATGTTTTTGTAACACCTTTCTCTCTAGCCATTCAAAGGAGAGCCACACTGCAGCCTTTTTGCTTAAGCTCCCCAGCTGGCCTGGGAGGCAGAGAACAAAGCACCTTTCATTCTTGCATTACTGGTTGAGATTCATATGGATTTAGCCCCGCTCAATACAGCAACTGACACACACAAATAAAATGTCAAAGCCTCCTTAGACACCTCACTGTACTCGGACCCTCTCAGGCATGAGCTATCTCACTATTTCTCTGCAGCCCAATGTATATGGACCAGTGACAGAATGCAGGACACTTCCTAGCACACTGGCTGTATGTGGCTGAAAACTGCAAACTAGATCCTCTAATATTCAGTGACATCAGCAAACTAAATGTGAGACTTGATGGAAATGGCCAGGGTTTACCCTGTTGCCCTCAAATATTTCCATGAGTATCAACTATATCACATAAAGCAGGGATGGTGGAGATAGGAAACCCACGCTGTTTGGCTCTTTCTTTAGTTTTCTAATAACTAATAGGTACCGAACATTTGCTATAACGAGACATAGATTATGTCTTTAAATCCTCATAACGCCTTGAGTTGGGTACCATTTCCCCCCAACTTTACAGGTAAGGAAACCTCAGGGGTGTAGAGAAGTTGGACAGCTAGCTCAAGAGCACACAACTAACAAGTGGCAACAGGACGATTTTAATCCAGATGAACTGAGCTATGCTATGATGTCTTTGATTAAAACTTGATGTAAATACTAGAATTCTCAGTGTGATAATTGTGGAGTAAGATAAAACAAAGTCAACACTTACCATGGTGCCTTCCACATGGTAAGCAACAAGTATTGTTCATACTTAGAGGATACATTCATAACTCACAGCACTGAGGACAATGCTGCTAGTCAACTGAACATTAGGAAACAAATGTGATTTTCTTTTTTGGTGAAGGAGTCAATCATACAACACACACAAGTATCTAATATCAGCTGGTTACAGAAAAATATTCTAAAATGGTCACTACAGCCACAAAGACACAAACTGTTTCCAAGTATTTGGAGTAGTATAAATAAATAGCACTGTTTAACCCAAACAACATAATAAAAGAAGTTGGAGGGCTGGGATTTAGCTCAGTGGTTCTGCTGTCTACCTTGCAAGCATAAGGTCCTAAGTTCGATCCCCAGTACCAAAAAAAAAAAAAGTTGGAGAAAAAGCTTCACATTATGGCTTATAATGAATACCTTTCCATCTCAATAAATACATGTTACCATCAAAAAATTGAAAAAACTCCCTCAAGTAGTTACATGATTTAAAATTTCATTTTAATGTCTAAAATTATAAAGTCTCAAATTAAATATAAATTGTTTTAATGAAGTTTAAAGTTTATCACCTCGTGAAGTGTCTTATGTATAAAAGACATGTGGAACCAGTGACTGAATTCATAAATACACCTTTAAAGACAGACATTGCCCTTTTGTTGTTTGGTTTTTTTCATATTCCATGATGTAGGATGCATGTCATTTCCTTATTGGTAATATTTTCTTAAAAGAAATCCGATGATCTCTAGTTCAAACAGAGGAGGAGAAATAACCATCAGCTTGAAGGAGAAAAGGAAATAACTGGCCAAAACTAACGAAGAACAAAAATGAAGTTTGGTCTTGCGGTGAGCCATGAGGTATAAAGAGAAAAGCTGTCTTTCAAATATTTTTTTTAACATTTGAGAAAATATAAAACTGTTGTCTAGGCAAGAGCATAAGGGCATTTGATATAAATTTATGTGTTTAAGCCACTGTGACTGGTGAAAAGAAAAGGCATTTCCCAGTACATATAAACAGGTAAACACAGACCTAGAAAACGCCTCTTTCTCAAAAGCATTTAATGGCCTGGGTTACCCTGGCAACACAATATTGAATCAATATACACTCAAAAGTAACCACTCTGTAAAGGAACTTTAAAAAACAAATATGAGCATAAAATACAAATTACTTTAGTTATTTCCATATAGTAAAATCTTAGATTAAATCCACATTGGCCAAACTGTTTAACAAACTTCTACCACATTTAAAAGGAAAATAAACAAGAGAGAAGTCTATGGAAAATGATGATTTCTAGCAATTTTTTTTTACATTATTTCAACAAAGCTGTGTCCTTTCTCAAACAGCAAATTTGAGGATCCTAAGAACACACCCCATTCATTAGGGAAATCAATAGCATTATCCGCCCCAGGTGACTAAAGCTGCCTTTTGCATAAGGCTTTTATCTCATTTTTAGCAACACAGGAAAAAAAAAAAAAGATGCAGGAGGTGCATAACCTTGGTGCTCACCATTACTCTGGTGGCCTTAATCAATGTGTTAACAAGCACAAGCACTGTAGCTCAGTTTGACAAGCTTCTTCAGGTGGTTCTGCCAAACTGTAAAGCTGATGGCCAAATAAATAGCCTCACTGTACTGAACATCAGATAAAGCAGGCCCTTAAAATGAAAGCAGTGCTACATTAAAGAGACATACAGCAATAATTTTTTGAAAGGAGAAAATTGAGGTAGTAATATTCTCAAAATAACAGGATAAATCTAATAAATAGAAAAACAACTCAATTGACTATGATTTAACCCTTTAAAATCCACCCTACATCTGTGTAACATTTCTATAGATAAAACATGTAAGATGTATTAGAATAGCTGAGACATACACATATACCAAGGCATGGACTTCATTTTCACAAAAACTATATAATTTGCTTAAATGGTAGTAACAGTAGAAGACAAAATATTCACACCTGAGGAGAGTACATATTAAATAGTCTTACGATCTGATCTGGTACAGTAAAAGAAATCTGCAAGAAATGCAGACTGATGTTTTCTGATTCTACGTGTGACAAAGCATTTTTTAAAAATTATTGAGAAATGTGTTGCCTTGATTTTGACTATGCAAACTAATTTTAAAGCCAAGCATCGGTCAGTAAAAATGAATTCCAGTAGTTCTCATGATGAAAATGACTTTTAAGAGTGTAGGGAACTTGACTCTACATATCAGCGCACATACCTTTCTTCACGTTTTAGAAACATTTTTTTTCACATTTATGCACAATATATACTACTTAAGACAAAACCTGGCCATCTGATCTGCCTTTGGCTATCTGCTTTCTTGGCTTTTTGAGAAGCTCATCAATCCATGGTGTAGACACAGGCAAAAGAGGAATAAATTCATGGTCTGGGCCACATAATCAGGAACAAATTAGTCTTACAAGGAAAAGAAACCAAATGCTAAACTTTGAAAGGAAAACAGTTTGCATAACATTTTCCAGAATTTTTTTTTCCACTATTCCACTTTTTTTCATTGTTTCAAAAGTGTCTTTTTCCTAAGAAGACTTGATTAGGGAGTGAAGCTTGAGAGATTCCAAAAGCTAGAAAGATATTTCCATGGGGGTCTCTCATTTTCCATCTGTTACTAAAGTTCCTGCACCTGTACGCAAAAGAAATGGGGGGGGGGGGAACAATCTGGAGGGAAGCCCCCTGTAGTTTACTTTCTGATTGGGATTTTTTACTTCTACCTAATGAGTTCTTTCTAGTGCTTTTTCTCCCTGAATCTCCAGAGAAACACGCACATACATGCAAACATACACATGTGTCTATCACTGTACAGACAGTTCATCAACACCACGGCAGAAGAGAGTCACGAAATGATAATCAGAACAAACGACTCCTCTAACAGTGAGAAATGGGTATCAGTTAAAGTTCGCTTGAATTCCTTCCCGAACCACCTATCGTCCACAGCTACTCTTCAAACAGGAACTTAGGAACAAAAAGACAAAAAACAGGTCGCATCAAAGGAAGAGAAAAGCAATGTTCACTTTTTCGGGGGCACTGCAAAACGAGCATCGGGACCTGGCTGCGCAAAAGTGCAACATTAGTAAAGAAAGCAAGCGCAAACTCTAGATACCCAGTTAAGCATTGTGTCATCGAGAAAAGTAAATAAATAGTTGTCATTGTCATTAGGAATAAGAATAGTAATAACAATTGTCACCGCGGCGTTCGTACAGCAGCTGCAGGTGGAGCGGCTTCTCCTCCTGCCCCACCGCCCGCAGCCTCCCCAGCAGCCCAGCGCCACGCCCAGGCAGGAGAGTGGGCTGCGCGCTCCGAGCAGTGGGCGGGGCCGGCCCGGGGCTCGGCAAGTTCACGCGTCCCTCGCCCCCTCCCATCCCGCGCCCCGCCCTGCCCCGCCCGGCCCCGCCCCGCCCGGCCCCGCCCGGCCCCGCCCTCGACCCGCTCGAGCCCATCCTCCGCTCAGCCCTTTCCGCGCTTTGCCGCCCTCCCGGCCCTGCCTACCGAGCCGTTCGGCGCCTGCGCCTCCCCGGAGCGGGGCGGGCCCAGCGACCTAGCGTTGCTGGTTGCTATGGTCCGTTGCTGGGGGTTGGGTGCTTCTCTTGGAACTGCGACCTCACTGGACCTTTACCTCGCGCTCTAAGTTCCGAGGAAAAGGGGATGGAAAATGAAAACTCGATTGGTCTGAGAAGCAGCTGACTAGTGTAGGAATCCAGAGCTTCCAGGCACTTCTTCTGATACTAGGGAAGGAAAATTGTCAGCATCAAGTGAGCGGATCTTGAGCGCTTGTGTGCAGAGTTATCTTTTGAGGCCAAAAGTCCCATTTGCGCAGTCCCAGAGTTCCCTTCTAGCTGTCAGCGGAACACATGTGTTCCAGGCTCTTCCGTGGTCGCCCTAAAGCTAAACGCTCATTTGAGGGTGCATCTTTTTTCATCATTTCTAAACAGCAGTAACTGGGAATCCCAGCAATCCTGGGAAATCGTGTTGTATTGAAGTCCATCTGATTTTCGTATTACATGGTAATCCCCCAACTATAGTGAATGAAATTTAAAACAAATTATTATTATTATAAAAAGAAAACAACTTACTTGTGAATAGTTAGATACTGTCGGTCTTCAGAGGCTTGGATAACAGAAGGATTTTCCACATCTTTTTGGCCAAAAACTTTCTAAATGTGATAACTTTGGGGAGGTAGTGAAATACCATCTCTACAGTTAAGAAAAATTACCATTTAAGTGGTTGAAATAGCATTGGCAGATTGAATTTTGTACTAACATCTGGGAAATTTTAGAATGACCTTCATGCGTAATAGCATTTGTATTTTAAAATTCTGTACTAACTATAAACCTAAATTTTTATAGACTTTAAAAATATATTTTAACCCTCTTTTTCTTTTAAAAAAATTCTGCTTGGGCTCAGGATAGTATTAACACAGAGTGATTTTAAAGATATAATCTAAAATCTAATAAATTATTTTTCAGCCACAATTCAAAAATACTCAGAAACTTTTCAGTCCTCACTTAACCAGTAGTTATGCAAAACATCGCTTATTATTCATTAAAATGCAACAGTACCCACAGCTTCTTCGAAGACCCTTACCTCCCCAAATCCCTAAGCTGTCTTCATATAAGAAGAAATTCCATACAGGTATGTGTATTAATCAGATATGTTTTAACCTTTATGTATTTCACACAGAAAATCCCTGCTTTGCATAGCTCGGAATCACAATAGTTAAGGACACTAGCTAATAATCATAACTTACAAATGCTTCTTGTAAGGTAACATTGGATTAACAATTCTACAAGTACCATCACTGATCTTCATTTGTGGGTTTGGTAAATGTGGATTTACAGACTTGTGAGATTTATTTGTAACCCTCGGATCAGTACATACTGTGGCTCTTTCTCCGTCCTTCATGGACCTGTGGAGCTAGTGAAGATGAGTTGTGCCACACACATGCTCCTAGCTGAGAAAGAACAAGGCAACCTCTGCCACCTCTCTTCAATCCTGTCACTGTAAATAAGTGCTATATTTCTTAATTTTTGTGCTTTTTTTTGTTGTTGCTGGTGATTTCGCCTTTCAAAATGGTCCTAAGCGTAGTGTTGAAGTGCACTATCTAAAGTTTTTCTTAAATTCTATTGAAAGGTACCTACAATACCCAGGAAGCAGTAGTGTTGTTTTAAAGTGGATTAGTTGCAATGTATACTGTAAATTTGAGTCTAGGGCAACTATTCTTTTTTTTAAAAGAAGCATAAATGATGTGCTAAGAAAAAAAAAGAGAAAATGAATTATAGTGTGCTTACTTAAAACCAGAAAGGCAGGAAGAGAGGCAAAGATTTCTTAAAAGGAAGCAAAATAACAGCAATGAATAGAAAACTTTATAAGCATTGTATATATTGAGCCAATAATGTAAATAGTTTATTAAAATATTAATGATTTAAGTACCAATTAAAAGACATAAACTGTCAGATGGATAAAAAGTAAGATCCACCTATATATTGTATATAAGAAACTCACTTCAAAATTAAAACACATTAAAAGTAATGGGATAGATCATGGTAACAATAATTAAAAGAAAACTGGAGTATTTTAATTTCTGACAGAACCAACTTCAGAACAAGAAAAAATTATCAAGAATAAATAATGTAATGTAATGATAAAGTGGGCAATTCTCCAAAAAGACGTAACAGTCCTTAAGCTGTGTATTTAAAAGTGAGTCAATATGTATAAGACAAAATTGATAGAATTGTAAGGAGATCTATTTTACAGTTGCAGGCTTCAACACTCCTTTATTAGTATTAGACTACAGCATTTGGCAGGCAGAAAATCAGCAAAGATATAACTGAACTGAACAGCATCCTCCATGATTTTGATCTAATTGACATTTCTAGAGTACTTTCCCCACCAGTAGCAGATTATACATTCTTCTCAAACCCTGTGGGATATTCATTCACCAAATAAGCTATGTTCTGGGACATGAAGCAAATATTAACAAATTTAAATGAAGAAATATGAAACAACGTATGCTCTCAGAACACAATCAAATTGAACTAAAAAATCGCTATAAGATAGGTGGAAATCCTAGAATATTTGGGACATAAACAACATTCTTAAATAACTTATGGATCAAATGAGTCTAAAATATTTAAAAATATTTTGAATGAAATGAAAATACCACTTACCAAATTTGTGGCAAACAGCAAAAACAGGACTTAGAAGGTATGTCTGGCCTTGAACATGTGTATTAGAAAAGGAAGAATGATCTAAAATAAATAATTTGAGATTTTTCTGCATTTCTAGAAACTAGAAAAAGAAGACCAACATAAATTGGAAGTAAGCAGAAGGAAAGTAATTATAAAAATTAGATTAGAAATCAGTAAAAATTAAAAAATAAGTAGTCAGTTGAGAAAATTGATGAAATCAAAGCTAATTCTTTGAAAATATTGTTAAAAGTATTAAAATTCTACTCAGGCTAACAAAGAAAAAAGAGAAAGAACAAATTATTAATGCTAGAAATGCTATAAAGTCATCCCTTCTAATCCCCCAGACATTAAAAAGAAAATAAAAGAATATTATGGACAACTCTACATCCACACAAAACATTTAAAGAGGAAATTATACCAATTATCTACAATCTCTTATAGAAAACAGAAGCAGAAGGAACAATTCTTAATTCATTCTGGGAAGACAGCGTTTTCTAACACCAAAAGCAAAGATATTACTCAAAAGGAAAACTATAGACTAACATTTCTCATGAATATAGATATAAAATTTCTCAACAAAACTAGTAAATTGAATCCAATAATGTACAAAAACTATACACCACAACCAAGTAGGATGTATTTTAAATATGCAAATCTAGCTTGACATTCAAATATCAATATCATTTAATTGGTATCAAATATCAATTAAAACACAATCACATTAATAGATGTAGAAAAGTATATATCAAAATCCAACACACAGTTATGAAGAAACTCTCAGTAAGCCAAGAATAAAGGGGAACTTCCCTAACTTGATAAAGAATATCTACCAAAAAACCACAGCTAAACTTTTCCTTCATAATGAGTAATTAAACTTCCCTCTAAGACGAAGAACAAGAAAAGAATGTCTCCTTTCATCATTGCTATTCAACATTGTATTGGAAACTTGTAAATAACACAATAAGATAAGAAAATGAGCTAATAGTTGTACTAATTGAGAAGAAAGAAAAAACTGTCTTTGTTCACTGATGGCATGATTATATGTATAAGAAATCTAAAAGAATCACAAAACAGTTCTTGGAAATAATAAGCAATTACTGCATGGTTATATAAGGATACAAAGATGCAGGTTTATTACTATATACAAGAGTCAATTACTTTTCTATATACCAGGAATGAACAATTAGAACTTGAAATTTAAAACATTCCAATTTACATTAGTTCCCAAAAATGACATTTATGTATAAATTGCATGATGTATGTACAGGAGTCACATAAGAAAAAATATAAAATTGTAAAGAAATAAATCAAACATGGTCTAAATAAAGATATAGCTCATATTCATGATTAGGAAGACTCAATATTGTCAGCATGTCAATTCTTCTTAACTTATAGATTCATTGCAGTTCTGGTTAAAATTCCAGTTAAATTTTGTGGGGTTTTGTTGTTGTTGTTGTTCCCGGGGATGGAACTCAGGACCTTGCACTTGCGAGGCAGGCAGTGGGACCTCTGAGCTAAATCCTCGGAAATTTTGTGCATTTTATAAAAATTTTAAATACACAAGTTTTTGTGGAAAGGCAAAAAAAGTTATAATACTCAACATGATACTGGAGAATAAGAAGGACTGTCGTATCCAACTTCAAGACTAGTAATAAAGCTACAGTAAGGGCCCGGGATTTAGCTCAGCGGTGCCGCCGCCCGCCTCGCAAACTCAAAGTTGCAAGTTCGATCCCCGGTACCAAACAAACAAACACCAAAAAAAGCTACAGTAATTAAAACAGTGTTGGATTTGGCAAACAAATAGTCATGTAGATCAATAGATATCACAGAAATAAATTCACAGAAATGCAGTCAACTGATCTTAAAGGAACAAAGACAATGCAATGAAGAAGATAGTCTTCAACAAATGGTACTAGAACAACTAGGCATCCACATGCGAAGAATAATCTAGCTGGACATTGTAGTACACCCCTGTACTCTTGGGAGGATGACCTGAACAGAGATGTTCAGGGTGAGCCTGGGCAACATAATGAGACCCCAATTCAAAAACGAAAACAAAAAAAAACCAAAGAGTTAACATGAAATGAATCATAGACTTAAATGTATAAAGGCAAAAGCATATAAGTTCTAGAACATTACATAGGATAAAATTTAGATGACTAGGTTTGGTGATGATTTTTTGGTATAATATTAAAAGAATAAGAAAAGAAAACATTGATAAATTGAACTTCATTGGAATTTAAAACTTCTACCATGTGAAAGACATTATTTGGGCTGGGGATTTAGCTCAGTGGTTTTGCCACCTGCTGCGCAAGCGCAAGGACCCAAGTTCGATCCCTGGTACCAAAAAAAAAAGAAAAGAAAGACATTGTTTATTATTGTTATCATTGTTGTGGTTGTTGTTGTTATTTTGGTAGCTGAGCAAGTACACAGAGAAATATGTTTAGATGGTGAGAGTGTGCAAAGAAAAATTCTGAAAGCTAAGACGTTAGTTTTACCTCCTACATCTTGATAAATATAATCTAATTTTGTTGTTTCTTCTTTTTCTTTTTTAGCCAAGACTGATGAAACTAAGCTACTTCATATAAAGTTTACTGGTACTAAAGATGGAACCTCTTCAATTAAAAGAGATAAAAACAATTTTCCTGATGTTGTATCAAGAAATCAATCACAAGCACTTGTGAAGGTCCAAAATATCTTTCTTGATTATCCTGAACCAAAAAGAGTGACACCTATTCCAATAATCCACAAATCTACTAAAAATGTCTATTCACACATTCAAGACACTATTTCAGTCACTGGTCCTATATTTCTTCCAAGTCACCTTTCAGCATCTACTCAAATTTTTAGGAAAGAAACAAAGCAGGTGGAACATTCAAGAAAGTCCCCCAAAGCACCTCACAAAGTAGGACAGATTTATTTTGATGAAAAATTTCAAAACATTTTAATTCTTTCTTCAACCTGCACCAAATCTGCAAATGTTCCTTGCCTCAGATTCCTGAGCTGCCAGGGAAGTTGGGACTGGAGAAACAAAATCTTGGAGAGGCGAGAACTGAAGGGAAATGAACTAAAAAATGTATACACAAACTCCTTTTAAGGGTGTTGGCTGATTTCTATGCCATGCAACTACAAGACAAGATTCTGAAGAACACCATACAACATCAGTTTAGAAGCTAAGAAATTGAGCATAGATTTTTGTAGTTGCACAAGAGGCAGACAATGGAGTTCAAGCACTGTGAACACATAGGGAAGGGCCTTTGTGAACACACTAGCCATTCAGTTGAGGACCTAGAGGATCAACACTTTAGGACTAAGAATGAAGTTCTAGAAGAAAGGACAAAACTAAGACCAGTCTTCCCTACCAGAGGGGTCATAGACATCTATATCATTGACTTAGATAAACTCTAGAGCTCCTGGCCACTCCAAGGTGCTCAATCACTGGACTAAATGTGTGACTCAGGCTTTGGAAAGTCACAGAGCATCCAGTACTCTTCAGGGCATCGAGCTCTCAGGGAGTGGAGACCATGGGGAGGGATTTCTGGATGTCTAGCACCCAAACTTCCATGCCTCCAGTCCCACACAAAGGAGTCTGAAATGGTTCACCATAACTCTGGGGAGCTAGATTCCTCTCAGCCCTGTCCCTAAGCTGATGTGGAGCTAGAGATGTCTCAGCCACTGGCAAAGAAAGGCTCTGTGGATTGGTTTTGGTGGCCATCAAGGGATGGATGAGAGAAACTCTCCTTCCTAGCAGATGATTAGAAGAAACACTCAATATGTCAACAAATGTGCTGAACAGGATCAAATGGGCCCCACAAAATATACCCTGGGCCGGCCATTGATCCCAAAGCATAGTCTTCTTCATGCTGTGCTGCCTGGAAGAAAAGCACTGGGAGCTGCCCCCTCTGCGTGGCACAATGAATCCCAGAACATAGCCAGAAGCAAGTGCTTCTGCCCCACCCCAGAGCTCACACAAGTGTGGGGGGCTCACAGAGACGGTGACATTTTCTGTTCACATGTTCACTGCCAGACTTTCATGCTCACTTCCCAAAGTTTTTTGCATCTTAAAAAACAGATGCTGCTGGAGGACAGAATCCTTCTAATAGGGGTAGCTCTGCAGGAGGGACCACAAGCAGCAGCTTCTGCCAGTGTACACAGACAACCACATGCATAATTCTAGAAAATGAGGCATGCCTCACTTGCCATGCATCTTTTAAAAGAAAAAAATAAAGATTTTTATTTATTTCCTTTTGTTTTTCTTTGAGACAAGGTCTTTCTTTGTAGTTCAGTCTGGCCTTAAACTGGCCATGTAGCTTAGGCTGGTCTCACGGGGATCCTCCTGTCTCAGCCTCCTGAGTGCTGGGATTACAGGCATGTGCCACCATGCCCAGCTTCCTTCCTTCCTTCTTCTCTCTTTCTTTCTTCCTTTCTTTCTTATTTCTTTCTCTCTTTCTGTAAATAAATCCTTTTAAACACTAAAAGTAAATAAATAAATAATAGCTAAACTAAGACTCCTCCTAACAAAGCTCAATACCAATCCCTGACAAATCAAAGCAATGTTTTCTATCTAATTGAAGAAAAGCAAACACTTGTTAGTGAATTATCCAGGCCCCTTAAAACTGTTCCTCCATAAAGGTCTACGATCTAGAATATATAAAGAACTCAAAAAAATCAGAACCCCCCAAATTTAAAGATCCAATCCAAAAATGGGCATCTGAAATGAACAGACATTTCTCAGACAAAGAAGTAGAAATAGCAAATAAACATATGA